CGCTGCAGTATCTAAAAGACAGCAGGACCCCCAGAGGTTTGTGTGAAGACTGGTGCAGAGCAGAGTGATAATCTCTTGTCCTGCTCACCAACACAGCATGCTTATCAGCGGTGGAGCGTCACGGGCCTCTGAATGCAACACGCAAACCAGCTACGACATCACACTGGAGGGTTAGACTCATTCTTCTCTGCTAATGAGGTCTGAATTGCCACTTTCCATTAGAACCATTACTGTGTGCCCAAAACATTACAGCAGGATGGCCTGCTATTAAACTGCAGCCGAACCAACAGTCTGGTAATTGAAATAAATAATATGAATACATTTTTGATAAACATCAGGACAAAAATGTCAAAACTAATATATTTGCACTTTTCTGCGTTGTACAGCAAGAACTTAACCACATGACACGAAGATATTGGGGCTTAGAAACTGGTAAACTGAACTAAACTGGTTTGTCTGGCGTTATTCAAGCAATTTAAAAATAATCAATTATTCAGTAATTAAAATATCCAGGTCTTTACTGATTTCTGGAACACAAACTCTGTGCGTTACTCTTCTTCACAGTGGATTATTCGATTTTTCAACACATTTTGTTATTTGGGGGTTTAAGTCTAATGAAATTACCAAACTACAAGGACATGCGTGTAATTAATAGTAAGGATGTTACCACTGTTCTGGCAATTTCATATTTGATACTAACATCATATGCATTTTTGTATTTGGTGCATAACTTTCACCTATCACTAATATTAGTATTAGCGTTGCCATTTCTCACTAATGTGTTGGGCTGTGAGCTAGATGTGCACACAGTGTAACTGAGGAGGACACCAATCCTACACTGATAGTTCTGTGTATCAAAATTGTGTCACATGTTGAGACAGTAAAAGGGAGGGAAACTGTGGTTTCTGTGTCCCTAAACAAAATGAGACCAAATCTACACTCATTTGAGGGCTTAGGAGCCAACAGCCTTTGGGAGTGACTACGAATGTAAGAACAATTGGTTCGCTTATATTAAAGGCAGCGAGTCTGGGTGTGTTCAGTAAATAAGTGAATTTACTGTATTTCTAACAATCTGATAAATAAATATGTCCATTCAGCTTTAGCAAATCAAGCCCTAAAAAAACAAAGGTTTTAACAATGACGCTACTTTTTGGGGTGCAGAGACTGCCTTTATACAGAAATAAATGGGAGATAGTGCTCGTAAAAGGGTAACAGGTTCACAGCATTTATTGTAAATGCACAGGTTTTGTTTAGGTATCTAATTAATCTAATTCATTATAAGTGACAGAAATAAGTAGAATTCTGTATTTTGGTGCCATAATAGAATTTTTGCAGCACTGTCACAAAGAAAGAGCAATCCCTAGTTTTCTGTATGTTATTCCAAGCTACCGTCAAACCTGTACATTTGCAAGCATTATACAGGGCCGGCAAACTCTCCAATAGCCCTAAAGTCCATCTAAATATGCAGGTTAACATCATTTCTTGTTTGCTTGCATGCTTGGACTCATTAATTAGTATGCATAATCATGTATAGGCACACTCAGTCAAAGATGCTGGATGTTTGGTTAGTCATCTGAGCACTCTCTTTGTGCATAAAGAGGCCAATTTCTTCGCTTGAATAAATACAAACTGAATCAAACATCATGAGCACTTGTACAGGATGTTTTTACTGATAAAACCCATCAGAATAAAGCTCAAAACATCTATGAAATCCATTCACGATTTAGATTCATGGTTTAATTAGTGGAAGGCAAAAACTCTGTGGGTCAACTCACAGATGTTGGGCAACTAAAGTCAAAGAGACAGTGAAGACCAGTGAATAACTGACATGTCCTATGGTAATCAAGAATGTACATTTATGGGGAAAAGAGTGCATGAGTACTGTGACAACCTGTGCTAATAAAATCCATGATCCAATAAAATCTATGACCCTTTACCAAGACTGTCAATTCTATATTCAGTACCTGGAATTTAGGTCCAAATGGACTCTAGGAGGTTAAAAAGGAAGGAAAACTTGGACTGAACCCATTCACCATACTAGGTTCAGGAATAGCTCTTGACATATTGGCCTACCCAGCATGCCCTCTGCCTCTCTAGACAGCTCTGACATCATTATACAGCAGATACAGACCAGGACATCAGCTGCACAGTCGAGGTTATATAAGTGAACTCTCTACGTTTCTTAGCATTCAGCTCTGCTGCCCCACCATGGGGAAAAGGGAGGGGATGGGAGTAGATGATGAGGGGGAGGAATAAGGAAAAGGAAAAAGAGCAAGGAGGCCAGGAAGAAAGACGAAAAGAAAGAGCGTCTGAAAAAGAGAGGCCCGCTGGGGTGCTTGCTGCCGGGAGAAACTGAAGGTCACCCTTGGCCCCCTTAAGGAGCCCCAGAGAAGAGAAGAGAAGATCAGATCCACCATCCTTGTGATCTTTCAGGCAACCCTGTTACATCACACACTCAGTCAACAAGCAGAGCCAGGATTTCTTCTTTGCTTTTCTTCTTTGCATAGAAAAAATAAATACATTTACACTAATAAAAGTTTGAGTGTAAAAAACATCACTTAAATTTGTCTCACACCTCATTTTCAGTCCATTTACAGTCACAGCCTCTAAACGGACCTCTAAAGAACACAGCTGCACTCGAATGGTGGATTTGTCCAAGGCTAATAATCAACCCAGGGACAGAACCCTGAGATTTAAACTGATAGCTAATGATTAATGAATCGCAGCCATCTGGGGTCATATCACCTCATCTGACATAAAGTAACACTTTTAGACTGCTTTTGTATTAAACCCCAAGACTGTACGGTCATTTAGAGCCTCGTCCAAAAATATGACTAATACACTTTTAGGTTTCAGGTCCTTTTGATGTGCAAATTGCTCTCTATCTCTGAAGCGCTTCCAAATGTAAAAACTCTCCATGTTAAGATTTGCAGCTGGTTAGCATGTTTAAAACCTTATAGCCTGCTAACTGATAAATGCTTCACTGAGCCAGAGAAAGTGTTTCTGTTGCAAGCTTGATGGATTCGACTGCAAGAGCCTACAGCTTTTAGACTGTCACCTTCTATCAGCACAGCACAAGCCGCTAAGAATCCAGACCCAGGAAAGGCGTTAAGCAGAGTGGTTACATTAAGTGATTTCATTATTATAGTGCTGTAATGTGGTGATGACTGCTTTTGCACGCAAACAGCTGCGAGTGCGCACAGGGAACAATCCCAGTTGCATTTACGGTACTAACGATCTGCAATTGTGCACAGTGGTTGTTTTCAGCAGGGATTCTCACATGCCTCGTGGGGATGATGAAGGTGTCAGTGTTGCTTGTCGTCTGTCAGTCAAAGCTGCTGCATATTAACAAGCATTATTAAGGTTTTTCTTGGCATCATTAAGCAGTTCAGTTGGCAACACTTTGCATTTGGTTTGGCATTCATGCCAAAGCTGGCTTTAACCACCCTGCTGTATTGAACTGTACTCTATTCTGCAGCTGTTTATCTAAAACAAACTGTATTAGTGGATGCACAGCATAACAGCGCATTTAACAGCTGCAATTGCTTTAATGTGCTGATCAACTGGAACAATGCTCTGATATGTGCAATATAAAGTGATCAGATCCGACAGCGATCACCAGAGCTGTACTGGTGTACTTGTGCATAGACAGAAGCAGGAAGAGAAAAGGTCCTAAATGCTAGCCTGTAAGGATTACAGGGACTATTATGTAACCAGCTATATTTACACAAATGCACAAAATACATGCAAACATAGGATCTTGCAAACTTAAAAGTGCATACTCGTTTTGATCTATAGGACTGTTTGCAATGCAAGATCATTTCCAGTGCTTTAAAATCTTACTTCTGCATCACCTGAGCAGGGCTGTGGTGTCCATGAGAGGGAAACAGAGTGACACAACCCCCCATCAGTGACACATTACTGGCCTCCCACCAATGAATGAGAGCATGGATAAAACCAGCGGTTGCATATAGTCAGTAGATTTGCTCAACCACCATATACATTATAGCTTTGCACAGTCAGTTGCTATTTTTGCAGATTGATATTGATAAAGCAGAATTAAAAGTGGAATCATATGCCTCAGCACGATTGCAGTGAATCACATTAATGACTCAATAAGTGCAATCTGTATAATAACTATTTTCACTGTAGACACTTGTGTTGATGATAAGCTTTAGTACTATTACTAAATTATGGCCATAGCTTTTACTTCAAGAGTCTAAATCCCACCCTCTACAAAATGATGCTTAAACTCTTGTGCAACACTACTTTTCATTTAATATTGCTTGCATTAGTGCACAGGGCTGCACAGGAGCCTGAAAATACAATAAAGTTTTTTCCCCTCTTTCTGATCAAATATTCTGACTTCCTGTGGACCTCCCCTTCACCACCCCACTGTAAAAAAAGAAAAAGAAAATCCTGGAAACGCCCCTGACATAAAAGTTAATTTATTAGAGCCGTAAGTCATAGTAATAATAAGTATTGATCTGCAGTGCTCTTACTGATACTAGATTACAGACAGCACTGTAACTTCTGCAACATCCGAGGGAAGAAAAAGTTGGAAACCAAATTAGGGTCAGGTAACCGCCGCTTGAGGTTCCCTTTAGGACTGTAGGTGTAGCCTGTCATAGCTACTGATCTTTATCAGTTAGGCTATCAGCCCCTATGCGTGTGTGCACGTGTGCATGCGTGATTTGACCGTGCGCGTCAGTGTGCAGCAGGCGTAAATGCCAAGCTGCACACACCACAATTAACCGCAACAAAAGCAAACAAAAAAAAAGGCTGTCAGTACCCTGACGATCACTTTGGGTATGCTGACAACTGCTAGCCGGAGTGACGAGCAGGATTACCCAGCCCCTGCTGGACTCCACTCCGTGCGTTACCCTTCGCTGCTGATCCGATCTGTCAAACCAGCCCGGGCTACTGAGGCTAGCGCCGCCAAACAACTGCCTGCCCACCACGCTGTGAACGTCGTGTTTCGGCATGATCGCGACACTCACCTTCACCTTCAGTTACTCCCCACGCGGTTTGGACACAACTTCCCGCTGGGATACGAGGCGGAAATAAAGCGTGAGAAAGTCCCCGGGTTCATGCACAAGTGTAGCAGTAGAGAAGCGCTGGATGGCTCCCCCGTCCCCTCACTCCGAGCCCATTCCTCGGCCAAGCTGCTGCTCCTCGTACCGTCAAATTATCTCCCCGCTCGGACAACAACCCCCAGTGCTCCTTCCTGCAAAGCTTCAGCGCGGATTGAAGCCGTTTGTTTCCTCTTTTTGCTGCCTTCCAGTAGCGTTTGGATGGGCTGCAACGACATCGGGGGAAAGAAGCGAAAAAGAAATACTACACGCTCGCTCCTCCCTCCGCTTATGCCCGGTACAGTAAGGGCAGCGCTCGGCGGTGTAAGCACTTATTAAAACTATCTACTGCTCTCTACAGGAATTCCACTGTAAAGCACGCACTGTACACACGGACACATGTCGGGACGTTCGTGTCGCGTGAAATGCGGCGCAATCCTCTTCTTTGACTCGCCTCACTTGCCCTTATTTATTGACTTCATCATCACCCCCTCGGAGGCCCCCTCCATCCCCGTTTCCTCCTCATCCTTCCCTCCCTCCCCCTGAGAATCTGGGAGTCATTCACCTCAATGAACATTCAGATGTCATGAATGGACGTAATAGGAAACAATGTAAGAGCCGGGGAAATATAATAATATATATTAATAATAAAATAACTAATATAGATATATACAGATACATTTTATTAATAGGATTCCACAAATAGCTATATTTTGATTGGAATCGGTTTGGACGTGCATTTTTTTAATATAATTGATTAGGTCTATTGAAGAATCAATAAAATTGAGCAATTTATTGAATAATTCTTTAGGAAAAATCAAACGTAAGCTGACTATATGGGAGTATGCCCATGCTTTTCAGACATTTTACACATGAAGTGATTAGAAATAATCACCAAAATAATTAATAATCCTTCCGAGTTTATTGTCTTGTTTGATTAATATCCCTTTACAGTTGATTTTTAAAGAAAGGTGGATAGTGAAATATTTTTATTCAATAAAGCACTCGATTTTATTGATTCATCTGTTAGCCTAATCAATTATCATATCTTTTAAACATATATGTCCAAACCTACTCCAATAAAATCTTTTTCTAAATAAAATAAAATTATCTACAATTCTAAGAAAATATTGTCTTGTTTTTAATTTGATAGCACCAGCAAAAAATGTGGAAATTAGGGACAGGGGCAAAAAGGGTCTCGAAAAATGGTCCTAAAAAATGCTGGAGAAACATTTTGCAACTATTTAGGTGAGCATAAAATGTGCATCTTAAGTAGGCGAAGTTTTTCATGAGTAAAGCTAGGAATTAGTTCATCAATATGCAAAAATGCGCATTACAACAATCTCAGAATAATTTTCTTTAATGTAAAATTGCAAAGACTTTGAATGTCTCATCATCTACAGTACGTAACACCATGAAATGATTCCAAGAATCTGGAGAAATCTCTGTACACAAGGGACAAAGCTGAAAATCAATACTGGATGCATGTGATGTTTAGGTCCTCAGGCGGCACTGCATTAAAGACAGGCATCATTCTGTCATGGAAATCACAGTATGGGCTCAGGAACACTTCAGAAGTCATTGTGTGTGAAAGTTCACCGTGCCATTAACAAATTCAGGTTAAAGCTCCATCATGCAAAGAAGAAGCCATATGTCAACATAATTCTAAAACGCCGCCGTCTTCTCTGGATCAAAGCTCATTTTGACCTCTCTGCATTCAGTCATACTTGTTATTAATCTCTGGCTCTCTTCCACAGCATGTCTTTTGTCCAGTCTTCCTTCTCTCACCCCAACCAATCACAGCAGAAGGCCGCCCCTCCCTGAGCCTGGTTCTGCAGGAGGTTTCTTCCTGTTAAAGGGGAGTTTTTCCTTCCCACTGTCGCCAAAGTGCTTGCTCATAGGGGGTTGTTGGGTTTTTCTCTGTTGTATTATTGTAGGCGACTGTTGTGATTTGACGCTATATAAGTAAAATTGAATTAAATTGAATTTAAGGAGGGCGACTGTCTGGCTAATCAGAGTTAAGTTCAGAAACCTGCTGTCTCTGATGGTATGGGGATGCGTTAGTGCCTATGGAATTGTCAGCTTTCACATATGGAAAGGGACCATCAGTGCTATAAAGGTATTAAAGGTTTTAGAAGAACACATGCTTCCATCCAGATGATGTCCTGTTCACGGAAGCTTATATATTTCAGTAGGATGATGATGATGCTAAACAGCTTACTGTGGCTATTAGAGCAGCATGGCTTCATAGCAGAGGAGTCGGGATGCTGAAGCGACCTGCATGCAGTTCAGGCCTTTGCCCCGCTGGAAGTGAAAAATATAACAAAGGAGACGCAGCACTGCGGCGCAGATAGAAACCTACATCAGACAAAGAGCAGGCTTCAGACCGCTCTAAATGCTGTTGTTTTTTTAACATTTGGCTCTAATATATGGTGCATCTTATATATTCCTTATTTTTAACTCACTGGATGTTAGAAAGGCAACCAGCAAGACTGCACCCCTTGCCGTGCCATTTCTGGTCTGCGAGCCGTATGTTTGTCACCCCTAGATTACGCATCATATTTAATAAAACGTGTTTTCTTCTCACTACAATCTCATTCTCGCTTTCTTGTGCATCATTCCACTTATTTAATCGCTAACAACAACTGTGGATACAGAGCGGATAATATTCTTTGTTATCATCAAATATAATATTAAACTTGAGAGATAATAGACACCACTTATTTTGATCAAAATAACAGCTGGAAAAACATAATCTTCTTTCTTGCAGCAAAATTAACACAATTGCTTCAAATAAGCCGTCCCGCTGAGATCCCGAAGGCATCAAGGATTCTATCATCAAATGGTAAAGTGCAAAAGCTTTCTTTTTTCAAAAAAAAATATATAAATAATACCATCACATCTTTTTTAGAATAAAGTCCAACTTTTTTTTTTCTTAAAAAGAGCATGGCGCCGGAAGATCTTATGAAGTGAAGCTTCAGGGATTCAAAAGCTTTCTCCTTCCTCTCTCCAGTCTTGAGAGACATCCTGTGTTTGGTGAATGTACAGCCCCTGAAAGCCATACGGATATTTCTGTCCAGCTAATCTTGCTCGCAAATATGCAGGCAGTCGTCAGCTCCGAGAGTGACACACTCTGTTGACACTGAACACCCAGAATGTGTGGCATTTACATTTCATGGGTTTGCAGAAGTGGAAATGTGTAAAGAATAAAAGGTTTATTTCAAGTTCAAATGCCACTGCAGCACACACATGAACGATTTTTGTGTGTCTGCATTCCCACACAGGGCTTTAAAATGTGAACCCTAATATGAGACTTTTCTGTTTGGCGTCGCGCTAGTGTCATTTGCTGCTTTGTTTCATTTCCTCTTCTATTTTCAGGAAGAGCCTGTTCTGTAAAATAAAGCGCCAACAACCAAATAACCACCGGCTGCTCACAGAAAGACACTAGTTAATAATAATGATGATGTATTCCTCTCTGTTCTGCTTTAAAGAGGGTGTCGAATAGGCGCGTGATTTACAGGCTTGCATCTGGAGTTTTTAGTTCAGATGTCATCAGTTTCAGCTGCTGCTGTGATAACGCCGAAGGACGCCAATTACTGAGGGACAGCAACCGTGTGCCAAATTGCATGACGCTCCAGCCAGTTGATGCAGGACACGTTCACTCTGGATCAAAAATCAACCTGCTGGTGGAAATGAAGCTGGGGGATCAGCATGGTGGAGAAATGCATCAACTGTGAACTTTAGAGCAGTTTTAGTTTTTGCCAATCCATCCAGTAGTACAACCACCTACTGACACACAAATGCAGTGCTGGGTTTATTCATGAGCAACTACTTTACAACAAGATCAATTTCAAGGATGAATATTAAATTCTCCAAGTGTCCAATCAAGCACTTTAATTACACACTGCACTACCTAAACTTAACCTTTGGCGACATGCTTTTCAAATGTCAGCCCTTCTTCCTGCACTGGCATAAAACCACTACAGAATCCACTAGGAGCGCATTACATGCACTATGCAGAGATTTGGCTGTAAAGGAGCTGGGGGAAGATGCCATGAGGACATCTGGTCTGGAGAATGGATGGATGAATACGTGAATGAGGGTGAAGATGGACAGCTGGATGGATAATAGCCTTTCTATATGAATCTATTCCCACCACAGACTGTGGAGAAATGCATAGAGAGCATCTGGGAAATTCGAGACTTGGATTTGGATTCACCATTTATCAACATTACCGAAGCCACGAAACCAAAGAAAAAAGCCAAATGGCACAGTCAAATATGTCTGCAAAGAGTCTTTTTTTCTTTCTAGAAATTGATGGAAAGCTCAGGATTGTATTTGAGACACTTATTGCGGTTAAAAAGACAAATAACTTGCAGTGCTTCACTTGGGCTTTGTGCAATTTGTCACTGTGATTTTGCATTTAGCAATCTATACAGCATACACATATGTGGAAAATTATATGATTTCCCCCTACGCTTTCCTCCCTCTCAGTAAAATTAAAAACCAAACAAAACAGAACCTTTTATTTAGAAAAGAAAAGGTTTTTATGTTTCCTTTACAGAAATAAAGTCCAGCTTTATTTGATGCAGAAAGGACACATGTTGATGCTTAAAAATTCACCACAATCCACGGAGGAAATTCATTTTCTGACACTAAAAAAATTCTAATTGGAAACCGCCAGGCTGCACACTTAATATGTCCTCTTTCCCACCAGTGTGCGAGTGAAACCTGTGCCCATGCATATGCATATTCTTCTAATGATCGTTGGCTTTCTGTGAAACACACTGTATTCCCCATGCAATGAAATGTGTTATTTAAATAAAGATTTGCTTTACTGCTTGAGCTGTTAATGATCTCACCTGGCTGTACATATAATAAGTAAAATTATGCCAAAATGACAGAGCACACGAGTGACAGCCTTCAACTTTTTCAGTTCAAGCCCATATCTAAATGTTGCCAAAGCAGCCTTGGCGTATTTCCATACAGTAAGGGCAAAAATGGCATTTAGAGCTTTAACACTAAACCCAGTATTTTATTGTCTCTCTGCACTTGACGCTACAACGCTGAAGAGATTTTGGAGATTTAAAAAAGCAATAAAAACTGTCTGCGTAGGTCACAGACTGAATTAAATCCCCATTTTCTTCCAGTGTTAATCCTATGGAAGCACTGATTGCCCGCCCTGCTCATAAATTAATTTTTACATATTGTTATTGGTACAATGTGTAGGATTTAAAAAGCTTGTTATAAAAAAAAAAAATGCTTATCAGTCAAAATGAGAAGAACAATGTAAATATGACTCTGATGCCAAATGTCAGAACCAGCTGTATAAATGATTTTTCAATTATTAAGCAATCTAACTGGGAGTGCTTCTCTTTGGTAATCTTTGTTTTTGAGCACCAGAAAGTCGATGCATAAAATGCAATTTCCACATGAGGAACTCATCTGAAAATACAATAAATATATTTATGCCGGCTAGACCACTGAAATCAAATGAACGAAAGGTAGCTGCATCTTGAATCCCTTATTCAGACCACAATATTTCACACTTGAGAGGACAAAGGAATAAAAACAAGTGGTTTAGAGTGAGCATTAGTCATGCCCATGCCCTCGATTTAACCTCATTTCCTTCTTGCCTTTT